GTTCTAAGCGTCTTAGGCATCATGGAAATTGGTGTCATTTTCAGGATTAGCTAGTTATGCTGTGGGAAGTCATCCCACGTATTGTCCTAAACCCTGAACCCCTAAACCCTAAACCCTAAATCCGAAACCCTAAACACTAAAGCCCTAAACCCTACATCCGAAACCACCATCTGTCCGGGAAGACCGGAGCTCGGCCTCCTGTGTCCTCGGACCTCCAGACCCAGCTGGGGCTCTAGGATTTTACGGCTTAGGGTTTTTAGGATCTAGGGTTTGGGGTTTAGGGTTTAGGGTTTTAGGGTTTAGGGTTTCGGGTTTAGGGTTTAGGGTTTATAGGGTTTAGGATTTAGGGTTTAGGATTTAGGGTTTTATGGTTTTAGGATTTGGGTAGTTCTCTAAACCTAGGGTCCCTTTCAGAGGGTCCTTTTTCATAAGGCTGCCGTACTCTATTGGGGACCCACAAATGGACCCTAATTTAGAGAACTACCCATTTAAGGCTTTATGGCTTTAGGGTTTCAGGGAGTAGGGTTTCGGGTTTAGGATCTGGGGGGACTCCATGGTTCGGCTGTAGTGTTTCGGGCTTGGGTCCAGGTTCCGGTTTGCGAACTGCATCTACCAGTCGGACCCAGACGATAAAATCAGGCTCTGTGGCAGGGAGAGGGTTGTTGGATTGGGGTTTCGGGGTTGGGGCTAGTTATGGCTGGGGGTGTTCATGATTCACTAGCTGTGAGCTGTGTTGGGTGAGTTTATGTTGGGCTTGTGGGGGCTGAAGTTGGAGTGAATTCTGGAGAAGAACACGGCACGGGTTCCCCAAGCGCCAACTTCTCAACTTCGAGCTGGCAGCATACTTCGCTTAGACCAGCAGACATACAACGCAAGTTCGCAAAGCCACCAATGCTTGAGGGGCCTCGCCCGAAAGCCATTTGGTTTCCTGGTTCGCGCTTTGCAGAATTGGCTTTCGGTGACGCCGGCAAGTAGTGTCTTAAAATAATGACTGAAAATATGACTGCTGACTAGAACAGGTGCACATCTGAAAACCGGGTGCCGTTTACGGATGGTGCAAGAGCCGCCTGGCGAGCATGGTCAGTTTTGCATCCTGCGCAACTTTCAGCCGTTCAGCGGCAGTTACCGACACTGAAAACTCGATGCCGAAGCTCCCACGAAATGGCGAAATGGCCTCTGACACCTTACATTCCGAAGATCGAACACACGACTGCCCGACTCGGGACGACTGAGTGTTGCAACCCAGAAAAACAAGCAGAAGAGCAACAACGCACATGTGAAAAATCAAGTGCCAACCTCATGAGCCCCAGTGAAGAACCTCCCAAACACGCGCACCAAAAAGCGAAGAGAATACCAAGCAGCAACAACATCTGCCTTCTGCCAGAACCCGATCTTGGGTATACCAGGTGTAGAGCCTGATAACACCCAACGCACTTAGGCCATGAAACTTCTGCTCGGGGCCTGAGGTAGGCTTGAGGGTTTTAGGCCCTTTGGCTTCCCTAACAAAAAACCCTGAACCTTAAGCCCTAAACCGTTTCATGCTGCTCCAGCCTAGAGCTTGAACTGGATCAGAACTTGTAGGCTCTAGGGCTTAGGTTTAAGTTTTAGGATCTAGTGTTTGGCTCATGTTCGAGAAACTTCGTTTTGAGGGGGCTGTGTTTGGGATTCCAGATGGGTGACGAAGCACAACCGTAATGGAGAGGGCTTCCGGGAATCGTAAACGAAAGGTTTTGGTGGATCGTCTGGGTCCGGTGTAGGGCTCGGCTTGCTTCGACTGCGCCCTCAGTTTTATTTGGACGCAAAGTTTAGCGTTTTATGAATCCTAAACCCTAAACCCCAAAGCTCAAAACCCCAATACCATAAACCCCCAACCTCACATGCCTAAGACAACACAGCCTACAGCTCCACCCAGCAAGCCCCGAGGCACTTGACGCACCACCACAAACCTCCCTAAACCTTACTGAAAATTCCTAAACCCTAGACCCTAAACACCAAACCCTAAACCCTAAATTCCTGAACCGCAAGCCTCCCTAGACCCCAAATTCCTGAACCCCAAGCCTCCCTAAACCCCAAACCCTAAATCCCGAAGCCCTTCAATGTCCAAGGTTTCGCCACCAACGGCCCTAAAGTAGTTCCTTTTTGGGGGTTCATGTTTAGAACCCTAGGAGGTAAGCCCAAAAAGGAACTACTGTGGGGCCTACGGGTAGGGTTCAGGGTTTCGGGTTTAGGGTTTAGGATTTGGAGTTGAGGGTTGAGGGTTTAGGGTTTAGGGTTTAGGAATTAGGCTTTAGGGCTTAGGGTTTAGGGTTTAGGGTTCAGGGTTTCTGGTTTAGGTTTACGGTTTATACGGTTTAAGATTTGGGGTTGAGGGTTCAGGGTTTGGGGTGTAGGGTTTAGGGTCTAGGGTTTGGGATCACATCTTGCAATTTCAGCGTCCAGAGACAGAAACAACTCGCGCACATGACGCCTCTTTTTCCCACTGTGAACGATGCCAGACTACGTGCCTTTAGAAAACTGCGACAAGCAGGCACCTCTCTGTCGTACAAGCTGCTCGGGAAAGACCCAGCCGAGCCCAACATGAAACCTAGGATCATAAAAGCCCCATATAATAATCTGAGACATATTCCAGTCGGGAAGTGCAGCTTTTAAGAACTCTCTGCTTGGAAACCTGCGCTGATAGAAGGAGTAACGCGTGCTGGCCTTTTGGCACGACTCAGACGGCCAAAAGCGGGACGCATGCATACCACGAAACTAACTAAGCCAGCCTAAAAGGCCCGTCATGGTGAGATCGAAGTGCATTGCTCCACAAGCTGAAGAGCAGAGGGACGAAGACCAGCGGATCTTGCTGTGCCTTAGCTGCCCAAGTTCCGATGAACTTCGGATGGCAAAGCTCTAAATTAATCTTTATCAGTGTTACTAGGATTGTGGCACACAGAGACATGTTGAAGGCTACTGATCTAACTACGAAGATGCAGAGTTCAAAGATCCTGCGAACCTCCTGAGGTAGCTCTGGTGGTAATTCGAGGCCGCCCCCTGCTCCAACAAAGGCAATGATTTGCGGTGCCAGCATTCCTGCATAAGGCACTTTTCCCAGGACTGCCTGGTAGAGCAGGACCCCCATGGCATAGACGTCTGCTTTCATGGTTAGGCGCCCGTCTTCATACTCCAGGAGTTCGGGCGGCATGTGCGAAACGGTCCCCAGCTGTGCGGTCATCAGCGAGGTGACACCCTGCTCCAAGACCCGTGCTAAACCAAAGTCGCACAGTTTGCAAACAAACTCTATCTCCCCTGCTTGGTCCTGTGTCTGCAGGAGAACATTGTTTGAAGTGAGATCGCCATGGATGATGCCATTGGAGTGCAGATAACAGCAGGCCTTCGCCACATCCGTCATAATGCACCTGACGTATCTCAGGCCACTCGCATCCCAACGAGGGATGGTGCAGAAACTACCCAGCGTGCCTTTGTCGCACCATTCTTGGAGTATCCAAACCTGGTTTCTTGTTAAGGGATTTAATTTAAGTTACCATAATAGGGATCTATAGTAAATAATATGGTTTCCTTATTATGGTAACTTGAATTAAATCCCTTAACAAGAACCCAGAAACTTGCATGCCACAACCTGGATCCGCGGGGTCCGCCGAGTGCTGAAAGAAATCGAAGGTCTGGACCAAGTTGTCGTGGGAGAGCTTCTGGCAAAGATTAGCCTCATGAAAGGTATTGGTGGTATCTACTATAAATACCTAAATAATCTAAAGGTTTTAGGTTTTTAACTACTGATCTTATGTTGTGATAGTACATACCAAATATTGTTTCATAAGATTAGCCTCTCTGATCGGGTCGGCTCGATGCCCTGTCTGCAAGGCCATGACCTTGGCGGCTACGCGCTGGCCGCCCCAGTTGCAGCAGTAGACTCTCCCAAAAGAACCTTCACTGACGTAATGTAGCAGCTCCAAATTCTCCGGAGCATTGTCAGGCAGATCAAACTTGCTCAGTAATGGCGAGCCTGGTGTGCGTGAGCCAGAAGACTTTCGGGTGCTTGTGCCGCTTGATAGCGCACTGTCGAGCGGAATCCGCAAGGCAGGCACCTGATCTTCCAGCGTTTTCAATGCAACCTCTCCGGCAACGTCTCTGGCCACTAGCCACATCACGGAGACGCACAATACTGCCACTGACACCATGATCGCCGCCCATTGGCGGCCGTCCACCAGTGAGTTAGAAGATTCAGCCCGAAACATGTAGCAAGCAACGACTCCAACCACATGGAAGACAACGTGCTTTGGCACATGAGTCTTAACAAGCACGATGCCGCTGAGTGTCTGGTATACAGTCGAAATGGCCGTACCGATAGCCCATGAGTCGAAGTCTGAGCACCAGTGCAATGACACTGTGAACATGCCGAAAGAGTTCAGCAAGAGAAAAACCCGAAGCAGGCTGTGTGTCTTGTTGCCAGGTGCGAGCAAAGGGATTGACAAGCCCAGGATGGTGTTCATCCTAGTTCATGGTTGGGTAGTATTAAAAATCTAAATTTATATTCCTTAGTGGGTTTAAGTACCTTTAAAAAGGGTAAAAGGTTACCCAACTATGACAAAGCATCAAGCTGTTGACCCGAAAACACACATCCCAGTTGAAAGTTGCACAGGGAAAGCCGAGCAAGACGAAGAGAAAAGATGAGCCACCTGGGTGGTTGTCAAAATTGGGGTTTAGGGTTTAGGGTTTAGGGGTCCCTTTTTGGGTCCTCAGCATAATACGGCACCTAATATTTAGGGTACCCATAAAGGGACCCTCATTTTGACAACAACTCACCTGCCAGGCGAAGTAGCCACACGGCATAGCGCCCATGGCTCGCCATACCGGCTTCCCTTTTAAGTTTGCAGCCACAGGCTCAGCACCTCGTGGGGGCCGTATTGTACAACACTAATATATGGACTGCGCTTTACGACATAGAACTGCTTCTGTTACTGTATCTTCTCAGATGGTGCTTTGTGAACACCCCCTTCCTTGACCTTGGGCAGACTGCGTCCACTGTCGGCTGTCCAGGACAAGCTCAATAGCAGAAGCGGTAGCAGCAAATAAGTGCCTGGTCATGATATTGGTAATCAATGATTACTACTACATTGCCGGACCTCCACCCCTAAACCCGAAACAGAACCTACGGCAGACGGCTGGGACCGCAGCGCTCGATCGGCGATCATACACGCCAGCAGCGCGATAATAGCAATGACCTGTAGGCAGAAACCGCTAAGATTTCAGGGCCTTTGTTGTTACAATAGGGTTTAGGGTGAGCGTTTTAGCGTTTAGGGTTATGGGGTATACTCTAATGTTGTCGTCCCTTTAATAA